CTAAATTTGGTTATAAATAAATTTCTTAATAATATCACTGCAGATTTTCAATAACACATGAAAATGAATACATAATATTACAAAAGATGTGAGTTTTCAAAAGTACAAGATTTTGGTTACTATTCAAAATATAAGTGTTTCTTCAAAATTTTAAATTTATTTTTTCTAGAACATATTTAGAAACACTATCCTTTAAAAAATATATAAATTTTATGTATTAATTAAATTTCACATATGAATATAGGTTTTTGACATTTTTGACAGTGAGGTTTTTGACGTGACGGTTTAAACCATGGTTTAAACTGTCAAAAACTGTCACATGTCAAAAACCTGCCAACCCTGGTTCTAACGAAGTATCCTTAGCGTATCATTCAGTTTAAATCCCGGCAATAAATGTCGATTAAGTATGTGGATATTTTAAATTTTACTAAATTTAAGACTTTAAAATAAATAGTTTAGTTTTACCATTGAGGTTCAATGTATTTTTATCTCATAAGTTTTACCCCATGAACACGGTTCGTCGATTTAAGAGCACACTTTAATTCAAACTTTTTAATAGGGTGGTGATAACTTTGCATTGTACTTCAATAAACATAGCGTTTATGATTTAAAGTTGAGGCAAGTTATCAAAATTTAGGTTACAAGGGTAACCAAATATATCGAAGCTTTATTAAAAGATCCAAATTTTAATGTTGAACCTTGCGATATCTGTTTATGTCAATTAAGTGAAGAACTTTCTAATCTCTTTAAAGATACTGTGGAGTTCGCTAGATCGAAGGGAATACCGAACCTGCAACCTGTCATCGAACACATCCTGATATTCCTTCTGCTCTCGGAAATTAGCTGTAACCGACTGCAAGATACAGATGTCACTTTTGTTATCGCACACTTTTCCCAGCATATATAAATTCCTGTAAAACCACCAAGTTTCTACTATGCTCAGTGTGTTATACAATTTTTGCTGAAATAAGTAAAGGAGAGGCTTGAGATCAGTGTACACTAAAAAATTTCGACCTTCAAGCATGTGCCGAAAATGTTTGACTGCTGAATAAATTGCAAGCAATTCTTTATCATATGTGCTGTATTTTTGCTCTGCAGCATTAAGTTTGCGAGAATAAAAACTCAAAGGCAGTAATTCATTGTTTACTTTTTGTTTCAAAACTGCATCAATAGCAAAATCTGAAGAATCTACAGCAAGAGATAAATTTGCATTTGGTAAGGGATGTGCTAGCAAAACAGCATTTGCAATCGCATCTTTAACTGCCTCAAAAGCAGAAAATTCCCCATCTGTCCAAACTAGAGGTGTTTTATCTTTTTTAGCCTTACCCTTAGTTAAATCGGGTAAACAAGATTGGATTTTAGCTGCATTTTTAAAAAATCTGATAGAATTTAGAAAGAAAAACTTTCGTTTTAACAGTAAGCTTTGCTTTAACTGCTTAAAGATGGGACATTCGTCTGTTAATTGAAAAAGTAGAAATCGTACAGTTTGCTCAAAGAAATATAATTTGCTAAAAAAAAAGCCAAATTTGACGTCAGTTGCTGATAGAGAAGACAAATCATTAGCTGATTGTTCTTTAGGCATAAGACTTGATTGCAGTATTCTTCAGTAAGCTTTAGTTCAGATGTTTTGATTCATCCCGACATGGAGTTTTCCTCCGAACATTCCATTGACGCTGGATCAGAATCTAGCTTCATCAGTGAAGATGTTACTTTAAGTTCGAAGTAATGTTACTTTATCTGGCCCATCACCGATACTCATGGCTGAAGTTAGAAATTTTGTAAATTCTGCTATTAATTCAGAGCTTGATGTTGGATTCAGTTTACACGTCTCAGATTTAATCCAATTTACCTCAGAATAAAGAACTTTGACTACTTCAAATGACTCGAACTTGCAGATCTGCATTTAAAACCGCCCAAATACTATGCTCACTACTATGAAAATCCCTTACCAAAACAAAATTTCGACAAAACTAATTTTAAATTAATATTTTTTTCATATTTATTGTCACGTTGATCAAAAAATATTTAATTCTGGTGCCTGATAAAAACAAGCTTTAATATGTTTTTATTAGTTTAAACTGTACTTTAAGCTACAGAATCAGATCTAAAAAATGCATCCTCTACGAGTAAACATACCTCTCTACAAGCGAATTCAGATTTTTCATACTGAGAACGTTATCTATCTTTATCGTGAAAAGAGTCCATTTGTTCAATCAGAACATTTGAAAGTTTACACCCCTAACCGTTAATTTTCCTTTTGGTGCTTTTTGAATATTTCTTCGTGTCTTTAGAACTATTTACAAAAATCAAATATTGTTATACATAATTATCAAAATCATTTATCAAGAGATAATTCTACTAATTTTTTTCCTATTGCATTAATAATGATAAAAAATTAAATTACGGAATAATAAAAAAGAACCTTGAATATGCTAGCTAATTAGTATAGACGATAATTTAAGTTTAAATATCAGATTCAAAAATGTACTCTCAATAAATAAACATATGTTTTCTTAACGAATCCAGTTTTTCTTGAAAAATGAAGGATAGCTCCAATCCAGAAAATAAGTTCCCAATAGTAATTTATTCGAGTTACATAATTTATTTAATTCTTTTGTAATTTAAAAACGGAAAAAATTAAAGTACAGGCTCATATGATATTTTTTAAGTTTCTTTAAGCACCTAAAATCTTATTCTCAATAAACGCCATAAAAATTTTGAAATCACTAGAGAATGTTGGGAAAACAGTTAAGTACAGCACTTTTAACAGCTAGAGACAGAATTTCGCACAAAAGTACTCAAGACTGATACGTGCTTTCAAGCACGAAAAGCATTCCAATATCTTGGATTTTTTTTGTCGTTTTATTGGTTGACCTGCCTTAATGCAGTTGGGCAAGGGATATGAGCGAGCACACTGAGAGTTGCTGAGCAGGGGACACACGCATATTAAAATGAAGTATCAAAGGTATTATAGTATAAAAGATGATGTATAGAACAAAACTAAGTCAAAAAGGGTGAACGAAGCGAACTCGCAAGTCAAAGTGGTCTAGAATGGATACATCAAGCTGTTCTTAGGGTCGGTGAGCGACAGCAAAATGCTTGCATATAGAAATGCAGCAGAGAGTAAAATGCCCTTGCATATAGAAATGTTACGGTTTTCGAATATATTTGACCAGAGTGTGTTTTAAAATTGTATAAGCAAAATCTAGATCTATCTTTATCTCTCCGATGATTCAACCAAATTTCGACCTATGAAAAATGACACGAAACTGAAAAAAAAAAATTATGATTTTAAAAAATTAAACTCTATGCTTCTTAAGAACAGGGTTGGAGTTTTTGCCGGCAAAAAGGGTTTTTTGCCAGGACAGTGGCAAAAATCTGGTAAAAACCGGCAAAAGCTGGTAAAAACCGGCAAAAACCAAATTATCTAAATTGCAGATTAAATATTACAAAATACTTGAAACAAATTTAAATTAATCATAAGGAATAATAATTTTGCTACATTACATGAAGAAATTATTTTTAACGTATTAATAATTAATATAAGGGTAATAATTTTTAAAAGATTGAAAGCTTTTTACCTCTTTTCATTTTAGAATCCTCAAGTAAATGTTTTTCTACAAATAAATAAATATTATTTGTATAATATTGTTACTATTATTTATTATAAAAAAGGGCGTTAGGGGGGCGTTAAGGGGCCCAGAAAAAATGAGGGGGCGCTGATGTGAGTTAGGGGGGCGATGTTTAATTTGTAATTTCATTTACTTTATATGGTATTTTATATTTCACTAAAATTAAAACCCACCTACTACACAATAACGAATAATTAGTTTATATTTCTACCCTGTATGATGTTATAAAAACTTAAAATACTTAACATAGATTTCGTAGGATAGCCCGCACACCGTACGCAATCAAGTTGTAGCAAGTTTCTGCGGATAGATAAAGGAACATGATCGATGATAGTTAAAAAATTAGAGCAATTTTACCCTAATTACATTGCATCAGAACGAAGTGATGAAGCCTTCAAGACTTCAAGATCATTTGAATAAAATGCATCCGGATAAGAAGGACAAAAATGTAGCCTATTTTCAAGATCTGGAAAAGAAGCATAATGCTCAGCCAAGTGTATCAAAACTTTTTTCGATGGCTGCTAAGCAAGACGATGACGGACTTCGAGCTTCATACAATATTTCTCTGTTAATTGCTCAAACAGGTAAACCACACACCATCGGAGAAACGTTAATTTTGCCGGCGATAAAAGAAGTTATAACTACTGTGCTCCATAAACCAGCGGCAGATGTAATTCGAAAAATTCCTTTGAGCAATAGTTCTGTACAAAGACGAATTGATGAAATGGCTGAAAACATTGAAAATTCATTGTGCAATCATCTGAAGACTAGTAAATTTTCAATTCAGTTGGATGAGTCCACTTTACCAACTAATGAAGCATTGTTGTTGGCGTACGTGAGATTTATTAAAGATGAAGAAATATGTCAAGAACTTTTATTTGCTAGAAATTTAGAGACTGACACGAAAGGAGAAAACGTATTTAAAACACTGGAAAAGTTTTGTGATGAAAAAGGAATTCCGTTGAAGAATATTATATCAGCTGCTACAGATGGTGCTCCAGCTATGACGGGGTGTCAAAAAGGATTCATATCGTACTCAAAAAAGAAAATTCCCGATGTGCATGCTGTACATTGCGTTATACATCGACAGCATTTAGTTGCTAGAAATTTAAGTGAACGACTATTTCAATCATTGCAACATGTCATCAGAGCAGTCAATAAAATCCGAAACAACTCTTTAAATGACGGATTATTTAATCAGTTTTGTGTTTATAATGATGAAGATTTCAACAGATTGATCTTTCACACAGAAGTGCGCTGGCTATCAAAAGGAAATTGTCTGACTCGTTTTTACAATCTGTTTGACTCTGTCATAGAGTTATTGGAAAACGAAGACACAGAATTGCGCGAAAACCTTATCACATCAAAGAATGATATCGCATACCTAACAGACCTTTATACATTGCTTAATGATATGAATCTCCAACTTCAAGGCGATGACTTGAACTTTATAAATACAAAAAATGTCGTCGCTACTTTCGTAGCCAAGCTGCTCTTACACGAAAAGAATATCGGCAGACGTGAGTTCCATAATTTTCCAAATTTATCAGTATCCTGCAACAACGACGACTTGCTCGTCTACTACCAACATCTGGAAGATCTTCACAGTGATTTCATTGAAAGATTCCAGGAAATTTTGAAATTGGAAATACCAGACTGGGTGTTAGATCCTTTTTCAAATGTCAACATAGCAATATCACCCCAGTTGGAAGAAGAACTCATGGAACTGACAACGAACGAGGAAATAAAAATCAAATACAAAAATGGCTACCAACAATTTTGGCTACAAAAGTCAATTCCCCAGTTGTACTCTGGATTGTGGTCTATCGTTGAACGATTTTTGATAGCATTCCCATCGTCATATTTGTGTAAAAGTGGATTTAGCGCTGCGACAACGCTGCTTACTAAAAAGAGAAATAATTTGCAAGTTACCAAACGCG